GCTGATGTAAACTAAAAGCTAAAGTCAGTGCTTGAAATCCCAAATCTTTCTGTGTGTGTTCTGACTTTGACTAAAAAATGGGGTATATTCTTTTCACAGAATATGTTCTTCAGGATAAGGGTACACATTATACTCCATTCTGTAAACTGAAGATACATTCCCAGAAAACCTGTTTAACAATCAAATTTTATAAACACAAGTTAGCAAAAAGCATTCTTAAAGTTGTAAAGCTTTTTCACGAATGCTGATCAACCTGTGGTAACAGAGAAAGCATTTCTCCCACACCGTGAACTTTAGTTGCTTGCTGACGGTATTTTTTTCAGAAGATAGCACCCAAAGTGTAGCTGATTCAGTAAATAGTAACCAGTAATGGTAGCAGAAAATCAGTCAGAAGTCCCAAGAAAACTGAAGTAAATTAAAGATGAATCAGAATGTCACTGGGAATATATTTAGGATTGCAAAGAATTTGAATGTCTGTAGTTGATTTATCTATGCTGGGAGATGGAACTTTAAAAACTTGTATTTGTATGGAAGTGGAGAGAAGAGAAATGTACATATTTTTCAATTAGACTTTGGAGCTAAGTTGTTGTTTTGTCAGATGAGAGGGGGAATGGGGTGATGCAGTTTACCCCTCTCTTCCCACATCCCACGTCTGTCTAAATGCCTCCATGAGTGGAACTTTAACCACTTAATGGAGGAGAGCAGGAAATGAATGTTAAATGTGTAAGAAGCCAGACTTACCAAATTTGCAGAAAGGAACCATAATGAATATAAGGCAGGGGTGGGCAATAATTTTTAATGGGGTGCTGTTCCAAGAATGTGGTAAGTGGTTGAGGTCCACACTCTTCCATTATATTAATGGAGGAGGTACAGAAGTCTGGGATGGAGATTGGGTGCAGAAGGGAACTTGGGGTTAGGGATTGGGGTGTGGGATCTGGGAGGGGAGTGTGTCCGGGGGTAGGGGTGCAGGGGTTTTGGCTGTGAGATGGGGTTGGGGTGCAGGGTCTGGGAGGGATATGGGTGCAGGAGAGGATTCTGGCCTGGGGGAGGGGTGTACAAGGAGGGGATTCAGGGTTGTAATCTGGGGCAGGAGTGCACAAATGGGTGCACGGATTTGAGATAGCAAATTGGTGTGCAGGGTCTGGGAGTGGGTTACGACCTGAGGAGGGGTGTAGGAGGGGATATAGTGTCTGGAAAGATGTATGGGGCAGAAGCAGGGGTGCAGAAGGTTTGGGTTACATGGAGTAGGGGGTCAAATCAGCTTTATTTGAGATAGAGAAAGCGAAGTACATTCTTCTGCACAATTCATCCATTTGCGGCCATGCATTACTATATGTGTCCATGCACCTCAATCATTCTCTCCACACCTAATTGAGATATAGCTGAGCTTCTGAGGGATGAGCCTTTATAAAAGGAAGAAAATGTGGACATTTTTTGAGTAATTTCCATGATTTCTGTTAGTCTTCCATCTCTGGAAAAATATAATCTTTTCTTCTATATATTAAAATTATGGTGCATATAGAAACTGTTCATAGCATGAATAATGCATACATCCTACAAATTCACTGCTTTTACATGTGTAATCAGTACAAGCTCTCTCTTGTACTGTTTGGATTTGCAGGGATAATCAGAGAACGTGGTCTCAGTGACTCAGGCAGTCCCATCACTGTGGGAGGGTTTGTTTAGTTTAGAAAAGAGAAGATTGAGGGGGGACATGATAGCAGTTTTCAGGTATCTAAAAGGGTGTCATGAGAAGCAGGGAGGAAAATTGATCATCTTGGCCTCTGAGGATAGAAGAAGAAGCAATGGGCTTAAACTGCAGCAAGAGAGGTTTAGGTTGGACATTAGGAAAAAGTTCCTAACTGTCAGGGTGGTCAAACACTGGAATAATTTGCCCAGAGAGGTTGTGGAATCTCCATCTCTCGAGATATATAAGAGCAGGTTAGATAAATGTCTATCAGGGATGGTCTAGACAGTATTTGGTCCTGCCATGAGGGCAGGGGACTGGACTCAATGACCTCTCAAAGTCCCTTCCATTCCTAGTATTCTATGATTCTAACACAGGAGAGACTTTGACCTCCTTTTAAAGCTCTGTTTTAGATTGTTATGGTAGGTCTGGCTCTTGAGCATGAAAGTCACTTTGTAGACCTCATGAAAGCATCTTTTTGTGGAGTAGGTATTTTTATATTCTCCAGTCTGGTGTGGTGTAGGGTATGCAGTGTACCAGGCAAAATAACTTTCATAGCTGGTTATTGTATTTTCAGTTTTCCAAATTGTAAATTTATATCTCCCCTGTATCTGTCTTGTGTTAAATATATTATGTATTTAAACTTACAGCAACAAGTAAAAAGCACATTACTTTGTATTGAACCTTCTGTTTTACTTTATTCTACGGAAAAATGCTTTTTCTTTATATTTTGTTTTAAAATCCCAATATTTACAGGACTGGATGCTTTCTTTACAATTATTCTCTTGTAGTTGCAAAGCAAATTTCAGAAGTTAAATTAACGTGAAGCATTTATAAGAACAGAAAAATGTTCACTATTTATATATGCAAATATGGCAAGTAGGCTTGAGGGTTTAGTCATGTGACATGTTGAGTTTCCACAGTGGCCATTGAAATTTTCAAGTGGATGATGAGAGTGCTCAGTGCCTGTGACACTTGGAGTCCTTAATCCATGCATGGTCCATGGTGTGTTAGCCACTTCTTTTAACAAACTTCAGTTTTGGCACCAAAAATTAATGGGAGACTAAAATGCCGCAGAGTTTTGTTTCAGTAATAATTAATGAAATGATATGACTCAAGAATAAGAGCCTGAGACAAAGGTGATAGAGCCCAGTAGGATTCATTCCAGTGACTGCATTGGGTTATAGATCAGCCCCTCGGAAGTTAAGTCCCACAGTCTCATGTTAACAACTTCTGCTACTGCCAGTGTCCTTCAGATCCTGTCCCCTTTGGGAATATTCATAGGCCCATATTCATAGGCTCCAGCAGCTCTGCCCAGGACTCCCCACTTCTTAGGCTTTGTTCCCTCTAATGCTGGGCCCATGGGGATCTCTGCCTCCCATTCAGGAAATATTGGAGCCCCTTCTTTTGCCCTGGCCTTTATTCCTCCATACCTGATTCTTCCCTTTGACATGGATGGGCTTGTGTCATTATGAGGCCAGCACAGTGGGCTGAAGCTCCTTCCTGGAGCTGTCTGTCTGACCCAGCCTATCTTGGAATTTAAGTGGTTGCAAGTGAAAACAGACCGATCAAAGTAAGTTTCTAAATTAAAATGAAAAGCACACGCATATCTAATTCTAATTCACTGAGAAACTTATTGCAAGCAGATTCTTATCCTAAAGAGCAGTTCTTATTTCAGGCATAATATTCAAGTTAGAGACAAACTCTTTTACTCTGACTTGGGTCTCCAGCCCTCTTTGTGAACATTTGGAGCAGTGGTGGGCAATCTATGACCCGCTTATAAAACAAAGGCTCATGAAGTGAGGTAGATGCTGATTGCACACCATATTGTGAGAGCCATATGCTCCCTCTGCACCAAAACAAAGTGCTGCTATATTTCAGTTGGGGACATCCTGCAAATTCAAGGTATGCAAGCACAGTTAGCAAAACTACTCTGTTCTGGGAGACCATTGTGGTTACGACAGCCTTTCCGCCCCCAAGATGAAGAAGGACCGCTCAAGAGGCCCACTCAATAACCTAAGTTGGCCCTCATTGTTTTGGAGAGTGCCTGGCTGTTTCCCAGGCCTGCTGAGGATAAACAGCTGATAGCTTCCCATTGCTTAAATAGACTCTCCCCCAGGGTGGGAATCTTTTGTTTTACATTCTCTTTCTATGGAAAAATACCAGGTTACACAATAGATCCCAGTATCAGGTGATATGGTCACATGTTTTCCTAGGACCTTCTGGACTGAAAGGGCAATCAAGGGTGTTTACAAGTTGACAAGTTGATTACCAAGTTGCTAGGCTTCCTGCCGGCACTGGTATTGACTCTCGTTAGCACATTTAAAACTATAAACAGACTCACATATTTCTGACTTCACATACAAGAATGATACATACACCAAAATAAGATATACAGCTCCAGCAGATTGCGACATTAAAATTGACTTATGTATGTCTTTTGTCTGTATACTGCATGATACTGTGTTTACCGAGAATGATATAAAAAATGAGCATAGCACCTGTTACACAGAATAATCATGGATCTCAAGATGTAACTGTAAATGGGGAATCATCATTAAATGGGTGTGTTTCTGATAGGTTTTTGCAGGGATCTGTTCCTGGACCTAAGCTATTCAACATTTTTATCAATGACATAGAAGAAAACATAAACTCATCATTGTGAATTTTGGGGAAAGGTAAATAATGAGGTGGACAGGACATTATTACAAAGCAATATGTGGATTGCTTGGTAAACTGTGTGCAAATACATAATGTTTTAATGCAGCAAAGTGTAAATTATACATCCAGGAACAAAGAATACAGGCCATATATACTCCATGAGATACTCTGTCCTGGGAAGCAGCAACACTGAAAACGACTTGGAGATCCTGGTGGATAATCAGCTAAACATGAGCTTTCTGTGTGGCATGGTTACTGAAGGGCTAATTTGATCTTTTGATGCATAAATAGGGGATTCACAAGAAGGAGAAGTACGTTTATATGACCTCTGTTTTTGAAATCCCTACAACAATGGCTGGAATACTGTGTCTGTTTCTGGTGTCCACACTTCAAAAAGGATCTTGAAAAATTGGAGACAGCTCAGAGAAGAGGCCAAGAATGATTAAAGGATTGGAAATATGCCCTTACAGTGATAGATCCAAAGACCTCAATCTGTGTACCTTAATAAGAAGGTTAAGGGCCGAATTGGTTACAGTTTAAAAGTACAGGCAGTCCCCGACTTACGTGGATCCGACTTACGTTGGATCCCTAGATATGAACGGGGTGAGGCAACTCCCGCACATGCGCAGCAGCATTCCCGGGGCTCGCTCACCTGGGTCCTAGGATCCTCCTCCTCCGCGGGCCGGCTCCGACTGGGGTCCCGCAGAGCTGCCGGGCAGAGGAAAAGTGCCTCCCCACGCCCGCTGCCCCCCCCTACTCCCCTGAGCAACAGGCTGCCGAACAGACAAAAGCAGCCTCTCCGCCCCTCCTCCCCTCTATACATGCCGGGCTCCCGGAGCGCAGCAGCGTCCCCAGGGCTCGCTCACCTGGGTCCTAGAATCCACCTCCTCCTCCTCTTCGGCCGGCTCCAACTGGTCTCTGCCTGCAGCAGCTGGCCACAGGGACAGGGATCCCGCAGAGCTGCCGGGCAGAGGAAAAGTGCCTCCCCACGCCCCCTGCCCCCCCGTCCAACCCCGACTGGGGCCCTTTGGGGGACTCCTTTCTGCCCCAGAGAGCCCTGCCGGTGGGAATCCTGGGGGCCCCGTCCCGAGGCCGCGTGCGTCTGCGTGGCAGCA